TGTAATCGATTTTTTAATAAGACTGCAAGCGATGATGATGAACATTGCAAGTAAATAACGAAGCATCATTTTCTGCTTATGCACTAGGAAAACAGTATAAGTAAGTTGACGTGACGAGAGATAAAACCGAAATTAGAGTTAAATTTCTGTACTACGCGCTATTTATTCCTTTGGAAATATATTTGAAAGTTTCAAAGAAAGAGAAGAAATGGAAAAATTAATGTTGTCAATAGTTCACACCTTCTAACATTTTTTTTTCGTACCTCTCTCTCCTTTTCATACCCGAGAATTTTCTCAAAAGCATTTCTTAAATCCCTTCTTAGGTTTACTTCAAACAAAGATTTTTCATAAAATTCTTTTGTGATTATTTAAACTTGTCACTTAGATTTCTTGCTAATTATTTCTTATGTTTTAGGCGCGCTTTTAAGATAGGGGGCGGGGGGGGGGGGGGGGGGGGGAAAATATCTCTTTATAATACTTTTGAGACTTTCACGGGTGTTTTTTTTTCAGAGGATTTGCGTGTTATCGCCGTATCGTGATCCATTGCTAATGTCAATTTTTCGTGAATCTTGCCATTAACTTCATCACAGTCAGGAGCGAACTGATACTGAGCTCAGTGTTGCCACGGATCAAAAAATAATTTCACTAAGACCCAGTTTCACAACTGACGGTTAATTATTAACCGAGGTTCAACTTATTCATTATCTCTTTTCTAGAATTGGAAAAAGATGAGAAATAAGTTGAACCTCGGTTAAGAGTTAAACGTCAGTTGTGAAACTGGGCCTAAATCTCCCTGCTTCAAAATTCACTAAAAAGCCCCAAAATTCACCAAATGCGTAGAATGATTAGAAAAAAAGAAGGGACGAAACAGGATGAACATATTTTTGCAATCTCTATTAACAGTACGGTTGATCTTCAATAAGTAAATACCATTGTTTGCAATTTTTATATACGGATATATTCACTCCTGTACAACAATTATATCAATAAAAGACGGTTGTTCCATCTTTCGGCAAATTTGACGTGTTAGGTAAGTCTCTGGCAATACGATTGGATGATTGTGCTACTTACATAATGCGTAAGATTTGCCAAAAGGTGGAACAACCGGCCCTAATATATAATAAAATTGTAACAATCTCTCTTCACGTGTGTACCATTATAATCTATATTAAAAACAAATAACTATAATAGACCAATTGTAGAATTATTGACAAAGCAACTCATTACACTTTAATCTGTGAAATTTAAAATAAAATCTATATACATATAAATCATATAACTAGATTGACTGCATTCAGCCAGAAAACGCAACTTAAGATTCTTGATTGATTTATGTTAATCGTCCAATATTTAGATCCATTGAGGAAAACAAGACCAATAAGAGGAGTAGAGGACGCTAACATAAAAATTCACCAAAAGACCTTAGAAAGTAAAGAAAGTAATTCACTAAATCACCAAAAGACCTTAGAAATCACTAAATTATAGTGAAAATCACCAAAAACGACAATATTGACTACTCCTCCGGAGAACTTCCTTTATATAAACTCTGTTGGGGGGAAGGGTGTTGACGGGGGGGGGGGG